TATAAAAAAACAATTGAATAAAACTTGTTTGTTTATGGAAGATAACTGGGGTTTTTAGTAAAGAAACTTGAGTTGTTTATAGTGAAGATAACTGAGTTGTTAATAGGAAGATAACTGAGTTGTTATAGTGAAGATACACTTAGTTGTTTATAGTGAAGATAATTGAGTTGTTTATAGTGAAGATAATTTGAGTTGTTTATAGTGAAGATAACTTGAGTTGTTTATAGTGAAGATAACTTGAGTTGTTTATTTAATTAAATACTATTATTTACTTACATTTACATCATTTAACTTGGAGATGTTCTGCATTTAGAAAAATATTCATATTAATGGGTTTCAACTATTTATAATTAGTTGTACAATACTCATTTTATCCTAATATTTTTCTTTCACGAAAGTTAAAAAACTGAAGCTCACATGAAATAAAAAATAATACTTATATAAATTTATATTTTTTTTTTCCAGACATATGGGGAATCTTCAGTCAGATATTGTCTTCAAACCAGCAGAGGTAGTGATTTCCGCCATCACGATATCTGTCATGGCGATCAACAGTGAGGTTCTCAAGGTAACTACTCACCAGGGTATCTTTATTGTTGTATTTAGATACTCAGATATCTTTATTAATGAGTGGAGATACCCAGCTATCTTTATTGATGTATGGAGATACCCATCTATTTTAATTAATGAATGGAGGTACCCATCTATCTTTATTGATGCATTCAGATGCCCAGGTTATATTTATTGCTGAATGGAGATCCCAAGTATCTTTATTGATGAATGGAGATACCCACGTATCTTTATTGATGAATGGAGATACCAGGTATCTTATTGATGAATGGAGATACCCAGGTATCTTTATTGATGAATGGAGATACCCAGGTATCTTTATTGATGAATGGAGATACTCAGGTAGCTTTACTGATAAATGGAGATACCCAGGTATCTTTATGGATGAATGGAAATACCCAAGTCTTGCCAATTATCCTTCTAATTGTGGGTATGGTGTACCAATAAAGCTTGAACTGTAATGGGGTCACTTTCATCCAGCAACAACTAGGCCTACAACAGCTAGGCCTACAACAGATAGTCGTACAACAGCTAGGCCTACAACAACTAGGCCTGCAACAGCTAGGCCTACAACAGCTATGCCTACAACAGCTAAGCCTTCAACAGCTAGGCCTACAACAGCTAGGCCTACAAAACCTAGGCCTACAACAACTAGGCCTACAACTAGGCCTACAATAACTAGGCCTACAACAGCTAGGCCTACAACAACTAGGCCTACAACAGCTAGGCTTACAACAACCAGACCTACAACAACTAGGCCTACATCAGCTAGGCCTAAAATAGCTAGGCCTACAACAGCTAGGCTTACAACAGCTAGCCCTACAACAACTAGGCCTACAACAACTAGGTCTACAACAACTAGACCTAGTTGTAGGCCTAGTTGATAAATGTTAATTTCATCCTTCTGTTTCTACAGCCTTGGTTCCGCAAGAAGACGAAGATACCATCCCCATCGAGCTCATTTTTTTGTGTCCATAGGAACCACAGTGTCCTATCTGGCCAATCTTTATGACGCGTATCATATAAGAATTGTCGGGGAGATTCCAACTGGGTAAGTCAACTAGTTGGTAAGAATCTATAAACGTTCATACACACACACACACACACACGTTAAGAAATTAGAGAAAGTACAAAGGTTTGCAACAAGGCTAGTACTGGAGCTCAGGGATATGTCCTACGGAGAAAGGTTGAGGAAATCGGACTGACGACGCTGGAGGACAGGAGGGTTAGGGGAGACATTATAACGACATACAAAATACTGCTATGAATTGATAAAGGGGGACAGGACAGAATGTTCCAGAGAAGGGACACAGAAGCAAGGGGTCACAACTGGAAGCTGAAGACTCAGACGAGTCAAAGGGATGTTAGGAAGTACTTCTTCAGTCATAGAGTTGTCAGGAAGTGGAATAGTCTAGCAAGTGTTGTAGTGGAGGCAGGAACCATACATAGTTTAAGACGAGGTATGACAAAGCTCAGGGAGCAGAGAGAGGACCTAGCAGCGATCAGTGAAGAGGCTGGGCCAGGAGCTGAGTCTCAACCCCTGCAATCACAATTAGGTGAGTACGGTTAGGTGAGTACACACACATACACTCACGCATAGTGCGTGCACATGTGCGAATCTCACAGCAAAATAGTGATGCCAAATTCCTACAGGGTCAACAGATGATAAAGACGATAAAGACTCGGAATTAGCACAGATGAAAAATCTGGTTCACCTGGATACACAATTTTAAAGACTACATAATGAGCAGAGTCGTATTAGCAGTAACATAGAGGTGAACAATACGTAGATAAGATAAGGAATCTCTTTATTGCATTTATGGATTTAGATGAGGCATATGATGGGGTTGATAGTGGAGCAATGTGGCAGATGATGCAAGTGTATGAAAAAGGTGGTAGGTTACTGACATTTATTAAGTAGAAAAAGAGTTATGAGGATAGTGAGCTTCAGGGTAGGGTACGTAGAGGAGAGGGAATTATTTCCCAGTAAAAGTAGGCCTTAGACAGGGATGCTTGATGCCACCTTGGTTGTGTAACATATTTATGGATGGGGTTGTTAAAGAAGTGAATGTAGAAGTGCTAGGAGAAGTGTGAGATTAAAAAATTAAACATAGAGATTGAGAGTTGTCACAGCTGTTTTTTGCCGATGACTCTGTGTTTTGGGAGATTCTGAAGTGAAGCTGCAGAAGTTGGTGGAGAAATCTGGGAAGGTATGTAAAACAAGAAATTAAAAGTGAACTTAGAAAGATCAAGATGATAAGGATAACAAAAAAAAATTAGGCAGTGAGAAATTGGATATCAGATGGAAGGGAGGGAGTATGGAGGAAATGAACAAAAGGGGAATATACCAGAGTATAGTAGTACAAACACTGTTGTATGGGTGTGAAACATGGGCTCTGAATTGAAAGAGACTACACGAAGTGTTTGATAGACTCCAGTTATTGTGTCAAACAAGTAGTCACTGGAAATACAGAAAAAAAAACTAAATTGTAGAGGGAAAAAGATCTCAGACGAAGTAGAGCTTTAGAGGTGAGAATCTATAAATACGCTACTTGGAGACAGTTCTTGAGGTGAACATCAGACCGAACACATTGCGACAGGTGCACATACAGTGCACGAGATCGTAGCATAGACGAGGGTAGTTAAATTTTCCCGAGGCTGCTATAAGGTTATTAATACAGTTCTTTAGTATTTTAAGGAAATTTAAAGAAAAATCTTAGTAATGAGGATGAACGAATTAAAATAATGGGGAAAAAAACAGCAGGAATCAAGTATGACCAAGATGAATTGGCCATAATTAAATTTCAATTAAATTTAAATATTTACAAAATGTTCAACATAAAAAATTATTAATTATCAAAAGCTCGTAAAGAATAAGATGGTCGTTTATCACTTATCTACTAAACCAGGGTCATTAGTAGGGTTTATAACCCATCTACTAAACGAGAGTCATTAATGGGGGTTTATAACCTATCTACTACAGGAGCGTGTTTCCTGTCAACCATCAGACAAGAATACTTTCATAAACTATATGATAAGGATTAAAAGTAAATTCTCTGGTCATATATACACAAAGAAACACACATGAGGGGCTACTGTCTCACAGGCATCGTTAAACAGACAATAGTTGCTGCTAGTTTGGGTTTAGTATTGCAATCCTTGCTGTGGACAATAACTGCAGAAATATTCAGGTTTGGCGTGTTGTGGGAGTGTGCGGACAGTAACATTTATGTAGGGATTCAGTGAAACCGGTTAGCTGGACTCGAGTCCTGGAAGTGGGAAATACATTGCATGCACTCTGAAGGAGGGGTGTTGATATGATGCAGTTTTTAACTGTAATGTAGGCACGCCTATGACAAGACAGTGATGGAGTGAATGATAATGAAAGTGTTTCTTCGTTTTTCGGGTCACCCTGCCTTGGTGGAAACGGCCGATGTGTTAATAGAAAAAATTCAGCTTTTCAGTTTGGTTTGAATAATTAAAATTTTATTACTTTTTCCACTTTAAATGCAGTTGGGAGAGTATCTTTTAATTATTTTAATTCATGTTTTTCTACGCCATTTTAAATTAATACTCTCAGCACTACACTGTATGTTACTTTATCTGGTATTTAAACTTATAATTACATTCAGTCAGGATATTGGTAATAAAATAATATTTGCTGTTTCTTTCAGGTTACCTGAACCTACGTTACCACCTTTCGAGCTGATGCCAACAGTGTTAGTGGACTCTATAGTGATCAGTGTGGTGGCTTATGTAGTCTCCTTCTCTATGGCCAGGATATTTGCCAAGAGACACAACTACAGTATTGATGCTAATCAAGAACTATATGCTCTGGTAGGGATTTAAACTGCATTTGTTTGTGTTGTATTTACTTGTAAAATGATTTTTTAACACCCCGGCCATCTTCCACCGAGGCAGGGTGACCCAAAAGAAAAAAATGCAAGTTTTCTTTCCTTTTATATTAATAATTTATACAGGAGAAAGGGTTACTAGCACCTTGCTCCCGGCATTTTAGTCGCCTCTTACAACACGCATGGCTTACGCAGGAAGAATTTTTTCTCCATTTCCCCATGGGGTCGTAAAATTATATATGAACTATATTTGTTAGAAATGTATTGACAATGGATACATAGCCTTACAGGCTAACTCTTACTAAAGATAAACAGAACTCTATGTAAAGAAAAGAACTGGTCTGTAAGTGAGATAAAGACGAGTGAACAAGGCTGTTGTAGTCTCGTAGTTATAAAACAACAACTACATCTAGTTTTAATAAGAAACTATTTGGTTCGTGAAACAGGATTCACCAGCTTCAAAATTTTGCATTGATGCCTTCCACTTGGACCCTGAACTGATATCCTGCATTAAGACATTACAGTTAGGCTCTGCCGTCCTGAAGTCCTTCGTCGAGGAACTGTAATAAGTCATTGCAAGTGGGAGTAATGCACTGGTGCACTTTACTTGGGCAAGATCCGCTTACGTGTCAAAATGACCGAGTGAAGATAGACTTGTTCTGCGCTTTAAGTTCTGAGTTTTAAGAAATGGGTACATTGGGAACAGTAGCAAAAGTAGGCAAGGATATATACACTGAGAAGCATATCTCTATGTATATATGATAAGAGTTTGCTTTAATCTCTATTTGTAAGGAAAGTTTTCTTGCAACTAATTATGAAGGATATTTATTGAACTCAAACAGGCTTTCAAGGAAACACAGGAATATGCAGAACCCAGTTTAAAATCCAAAGTCAAAGTACACGATAGCTGGTATATCCTTCTAATTTCAGGATACATTTTGATATAATCAAAGCTTGAGTGGGTATCCAGGAGTGTTGATCCTTAAACCCCTGTGTGTCCTGCTACAAACAAGAAGCAAGACTTTGGTACTTTCCAGTCAGTAAAGTAATGAATAGGTTTTATGCTCAATAAAACTTAAATTTAAAATAATCTCATACTTACTGTATTTCCTCCAGGGAGCCAGTAACGTGTTTGGATCGTTCTTCGGCTGTGCTCCCATCGCTGTGTCACTGGCTCGCTCTCTCATACAGGAAGCTGCCGGTGGTGTTACACAGATAACTTCCTTCGTCTGTTGCTTCCTACTGCTGTTTGTCTTACTGTTTATTGGGCCCGTCTTTGAAACTCTCCCAAACGTGAGTATTATGTTTATCTGTTGTTGTCATCCTCTAGCCTACCTAAGTGGTTATTTGGGCCCTGTCTGAGTCACCTGCAAACTTGCAAACCAAGAACTACCAATATTCAAGTATCATTGTTGCAAATCACGACACTGGGACTGGTGTGTGTGTACTCACCTAATTGTGATTGCAGAGGTCGGCTCATAGCTTCTGGCTCCGTCTCTTAACTGGTCGCTATTAGGTCACTATCTCCTTGCTCCACGAGCTCCATGTGTAATTACCTATTTACAATTATCTGCATTTACCAGTAATTACTCTATTCATCATATATTTATTTTAAATTTTATTGGCTATAACACTCATTAATTCCTCATTTAATGCATTCCACTGGTCAACCACTCGATTCGAGAAGGAAAATTTAATATTATCCTTTCCACTATACTTTTTCTCACTTTTTAACTGTTGCCTCATGTTGTCCCTGTTGCAGGCGCAAGGAAGTGATCCTTTTCTATTCTTACAAGTCCTGTCAAGGCTTTATGTGGTCATCATATTTCCTATCAATCAACATGGGCATCTATAATGTTTTTCAACGTTACATCACAACACATACTGATTAATTAGACATATGCAATATCTGGGTATCTTTATTTCGTAGACTTTTCACTATCCTATGGCTTTATCAATACAACATATGGACATAATCTGAAGACTGTAGAAATATATACAGAAACAGTGGAAGATGAGGTAATCAGTCCCTCATTTAGGAGCGAGTGATGAGCACCGTAGTTTAAGAATCTGAAACACAAGAAGGAAGATTTGGGACTTATATACTGGAGTCTGATGAGATGCGTAGATGAAAAGAATTATCCAGACTCCAGAATATATATAATATTATATATATAATATATATATTATAATATATATATAATATATTATATATATATATATATATATATATATTATATATATATATATATATATATATATATGCAAAGGAATTCGCGAGAGCAAGCGAAATTTAACAAACACTGTCCTGGCTGAAGGAGACTCGAACCTACGAACCTTAGGACAAGTTACAGCTGTAAGCTTCTCCCTGGGAAAACTGGCTGCTTGATCAAAACGTGTAGTCATGCTACACGCCAAAATTTTTGTCCAGTGTGGGTAGATTGTAAAGCACTGGTACCTTGTCTAAAGGTTGTAGGTTGAGTCTCCTTCAGCCAGAGATCAGTGTATATATATATTATATATTATAATATATATATATATATTATATATATATATAAATTATTGTCGTGCCGAATATTGTTTAAAAATGGTCAATTAGCAAGAATCCAATTTAAAATTAAGTCCTTTCTGAAATTTTCTCTTATACGTTTAAAGATATATTTTTTTCATTAATGTTAATGTAAAAAATTTAATTTTGCAACAAAAGAATCTTAGAAAACTTACCTAACCTTATTATAACAAGCGCAATTTATTTTATCCTAATCCTACTAAATATATTTTAAATACGTTTACAGTAATTTAATATTAAACAAACACAGTGAAATATATATTTTTCGTTAGGTTTAGAATTATTTTTGCGAAATTATTGCATACACAAATTTTCACTTGTCCTATATGGCAAGATGAGCGTTGCTATTTAAGCCATCCCAAGTTCTGCCTATTCGGCACGACATATTTGTATATATATCTACGTACAGGATGGAATAATTAAACACACAAAATGTGACCAATTTATCGAGTCATCTAAAACTGTCAAGGGAGAAAGGCGGTGAAGGGCTCTTAATTCAAGAAATTGGAGTAATTTTTCATTTCCTTTACGGATTCTTCCCATTTTTTCAGGCTGTCCTGTCTTCCATCATCGTAGTGGCACTGAAGGGAATGTTCATGCAAGTGAAAGACTTGAAGAGGGTGTGGGGTGTGTCTCGTCCCGACGCAATGATATGGCTGGCTTCCTTCCTCGGTGTTGTAATTATAGACATAGACTATGGCTTGTTGTTGGGTATCGTCACATCACTGGTGGTTCTGCTCTATCGTTCACAAGAACCCAAAACTGCTCGTCTCGGACGTGTTCCAAACACCGATGTTTACCTAAACGTCAACAAATATTCCATGGTAAGTTTTCCATCTCTTGTTTTTTTATCACCGTAACTTTTTTTTTGTTTATTAGAGCATCGCTTGTGAAATTTGAAGCTCATAGACTACTCGAAGGGGATTAAGGATGAATGTCGCCTGTTCACTACCAGTCAAACTTTAGTCTCTTCAAAACCCGGGAAAAACAATAACCTCTCAGTGTGTATATATATTCACTGAAAAGTACGCACTCTTTCTGTGTATATACACTGAAATGTACAGGCTTCCCGTCCTCTTTCTAACAGACAAATTTGACTGTTGTAAAGACAGTTAAACAGGGGACTGACAAACCCTTAAACAGTCTGAATCTCAGTTTTCTCTACAGCGCTCAGTGGCTCACACTTATCTATTTCGCTCAGTGGCTAACACTTCTCTACGGCGCTCAGTGCTAACACTTCTCTACGGCGCTCAGGGCTCACATTTCTCTGCAGCGCTCAGTGGCTAACACTTCTCTACGGCGCTCAGTGGCTAACACTTCTCTACGGCGCTCAGTGGCTTACACTTCTCTACGGCGCTCAGTGGCTAACACTTCTCTACGGCGCTCAGTGGCTAACACTTCTCTACGGCGCTCAGTGGCTAACACTTCTCTACGGCGCTCAGTGCTAACACTTCTCTACGGCGCTCAGTGGCTTACACTTCTCTACGGCGCTCAGTGGCTAACACATTCTCTACGGCGCTCAGTGGCTAACACTTCTCTACGGCGCTCAGTGGTTCACACTTTTGTGTTCGTGAGGAAGAACTTTTATCTCCTTTATCTTATAGTCTTATTTTTTTACGTTGTGAGATATATTGGTTATTTTTTTATGGACAGAGGATAACCCAAACTAACCTCACCTAAAATGTCCTAAGTTAACCTAACCTAATCTAACATAACCTAATCTAAACTAATCTAACCTAACCTAATCTAACCTAACCGAGAAATTTGCTGAAAACGTTCGTGAGAAAAGCCACTTAGATTTTGTATGGGAGTTAGATTTGTATGGGAGGACAGGTTGGGATATATATACCAGATCATACATACTTCACGATGTATTATACACTGAAAGATACGAACTTCTTGGTCCTTGTTTTATTTCAAAAGTTCTAATTTTTATATCAGCAGAATATATTTTAAATAAAAATTATTACAAATATTGTGAATAAGAAAAGAAAAATTATTTCTGTAAATAATCTTTAATACAAGAACATGTAAACTGAGATGAATATATATCTCAATGTATTTACACTGAAAGATTACTTTAATCCCTATTTCTTGATGTTAAAAGTAATCTTGGCTGGTGGTGAACAGATTACATGCAACTTTAATTGATGACCCTTTACTTTAAACTCAATTAGCCAAACACCCATGCACTTTATTATATCAGTGACTCTTAAGTACATCTGTATGTACAATGAATTTATGGATTCTTTCTTTTTAATATATAGACAGTAGAAGTGCCGACAGTGAGTATCTTCCAGTTTATCGGTCCGCTGCACTTTGCTAACAGTGAATATTTCCGTCGGGAGCTGATGTCTGTCACTGGTCTCAACCCAATCACTATTGCTGCAAGCAAGTCACTAGTTGAGAAACAGCTGCAGCTGGAGGCTGACCTCACCACCCAGCTGACCAAGGTAGTATTCACCTAAAATCATTGCCTAGCTAAACGTGAATGGGATATGAATGGCGTGTACAGGAAAACTCAAACTTGGTGACTTCCTCGAGAGAGGGAATAACGTAACATTCTTAAAATAATAATAAATCCTCCAAATTAGCATTGAATTCAGCTAATATTAAGAATTTGAACATGGCGAGAGGATGATTTCGATTGTCTCCGCCATACATCAAGTGCTCTTAGTAGGAAGAATTTGCACTTACACCTTAATTAATGCTTGATGACCTCGTGAAGTGTGTCGAAAATGGTTTTGATAAACCACAAGTTGAAGAACGAGACACTTGTGCGACATGGGAATCTTTACTGATGTTTCTTTATGATGTTACCTTGTGTATATATCACATCACTCACTGTAGGACTGGTGATGTTATTTCTGTGATGTGTCACGTAGGAGTGAGATTACTAGGTACTTCCCTTACGGAATGTTTCACATCGGATGTGGTAATCTCTTTTCACATCAGACGCAGTGATGTTGAGGACTTCACCTCTCGTTTCACATCAGACGTTTCACTATCACGTCCTCATCAGTACACACAAGAGAGAGAGAGAGAGAGAGAGAGAGAGAGAGAGAGAGAGAGAGAGAGAGAGAGAGAGAGAGAGAGAGAGAGAGAGGAGGTACATCAGAAGAGAGAGAGGTGTCATGTTACCTGGTAAGGTGTTTATCACTGGAGAATCAGATTATCTGCACTTAAGTATCTCTTGTCTCACCTGGTCTCACCTGGTCTCACCTGTCTCACCTGGTCTCACCTGGTCTCACCTGGTCTCACCTGTCCTCACTCTCCTTGAAAGTTTACTACAAAGATAAAAAAAATAGATGGTATAACCTTAGCAATAGATACCGACAAATTGGTTTACAAAAACACGTGAACAAACACTATGACGTATTTATTAGAAGACGTTTCGGTCCTGGAACCTTGATCACTTCTGAAGGAAGGAAGTGATACTTCGAAGTGATCAAGGTCCAGGATCCGAAACTTTTTTCTAATATGTCCAAGTGTTTGCTTACGTGTCTTTTTAAACCAAAACTAGACTAGAAGGGTAAATTCGCCGAAGAATTAAGATGTAAAATTAACATCTGGAGAAGGAGAGTTCCTGGACGTCTTCTTCGCATCCTGTTGTCGGTAACAAGACAAAGCTGTACTAACGTTGTAACTCAAGAAATCGTAATAATACAATTGCAAACAAATCAGAGAATGGGTGGGACTCGAACCCATGGTAGCCTGCCAGTTTTAGGAGACACATTTCCATGGTTTCAAGCCCCACATGTTTTGTGGCTTGTATAAACGTTGTTTTAGGTACTTACGGTCAATACGACCGTGAACAGTTTGTCTGACAGCGTTCAATTACCTTAATAAAACGAAAAAATGTTCAGTATATTACAGTGGAAACATTAAACTAAACATCTAATATTACATTGGCAATTATAATGTTATATTTCAAAATATAATAATGGTTACCGTACATATTCTTTTTGTAGCAGGTACAGTACCTGGTGGTTAGAGATGATGCTGTGAGTTACACAGACTCCAGTGGTGGTTACCTACTGTCTCAGCTGTGTAAAGAATACCAGGAGGCTGGTATTACGTGTGTTCTGGCTTCTCTCTCAGTATGTTGTCTATGTGTTTTGCCAATCCGTATATATATATATATATATGTATATATATATATATATATATAATATATATATATATATATATATATATATATATATATATAATATATATAATATATATATAATATATATATATATATATTATATAATATATATATATCGTGCCGAATAGGCAGAACTTGCGATCTTGGCTTAAATAGCAACGCTCATCTTGCCATATAGGACAAGTGAAAATTTGTTGTATGCAATAATTTCGCCAAAATCATTCTGAACGTAACGAAAAAATATATTTCACTGTGTTTGTTTAGTATTAAATTATTGTAAACAAATTTAAAATATATTAATTGGGTTAGGCTAAAATAAATTTTCTTGTTATAATAAGGTTAGGTAAGTTTTCTAATTTTCTCTGGAGCAAAATTAAAAATTTTTACATTAAAATTAAAGAAAAATATATCTTTAAACGTATAAGAGAAAATTTTAGAAAGGACTTACTTTTGAATGAGTGTCTTGCTAATTGGCCATGTTTACATAATTCGGCACGACATATAATACTCGCGATAATTGAATAATAAACACCGCATTTTAGTTTAAAATTGTTACCATGAAACACTTCGTCGGTTTTTCAGAAAATGTACTGGAAACCCTGGAAGTGGGTGGAACACTCAAAGTTATCCTCCAGAGAACATTTCCACTCAACGCATGATGCTGTTATGGCCTCACTCACCGGACTCTCCTCTCCCTGTACATGATACGTGCACTAAATTATAGACCTACCTCGTAGTACCAGGAGTACAGTCCACAATGGTTAAAAATTATAAGACTAACCTTGTAGTAAAAGGAGTAAGTCGCACGTTGGTGATGAAATATTAGGCCTATAAAAGTCACACTGGAGATGAAATTACTGACTGGTTTGATCAGATTCCTGATCCATCATGAGGCCTGGTCTCAGACCGAGCTGCGGGGAGTTGATCTCCGAAACCCTCTCCAGGTAAACTCCAGGTAAACTTGTTGTATCAGGGGTAGAAGTGCCACTCTGAAGACTATTATCATATATCTCACATTGCTTACGTTTTTAATTTTTTTGTGTTGTAACAGAGATCTTCACTGAAGAAATCAAAGCATCATCAAGTTAAGCCTTCAGAACAACCACTATTCTGACAAATTCCTTGAATACTGTCATTGCAATTTAACAAATACAGTGGACCCCCGTAAACGATATTTTTTTCCTCCAGAAGTATGTTTAGGTGCCATACTGACCAAAAATTGCCCCCCAAACATACACGTAAAAAACGCACTTACATAAATACACTTACATAATTGGTCGCATTCGGAGGTGATCGTTATGCGGGGTCCACTGTATAACGTTTCCTAAACTGCCGCCTTACATTTACGCATTCACGCTTCGTTTTCCTGCATCTTAAATTTATATATTAAATATTTATTAAAATTTTTATATATTTGTTTAATTTATATATTGGTGAAATAAAAGATGGGGTGGGAAAAGGGAAGGGAATATTTAAATGGCTAAATGAAGTCGCAATTTTTCCTGAGGGCCTTTTTGTGTGTATCTCCAATGTTGTGGGTCCTCACAGAGTGAACTACAGGAGGGCCCTCATTCCTTTTATTCAAGTAAAAGTACTTTATTACGTAACTTGTTTCTTCAGAATAAATTTTACGAAACATTAGCACGTTATCTTTCTCTATAATAACTTAAAACGTTGATATTTCTTTTCTTTTTTATGGATTTTTTTTTTTAGATTTTTTTTTTTGGAAATCCCCAATTTAAAACCCGTTTTGTATTTCTCCAGTTTTTCCGGGGAACCCCAACCCCAACGTTTTATTAATTAAAAAAACAAAACCTTTGAAAATCACAAAAATTTCTTAACAGTTGGGAGGGGGAAATTTTAGGGTTTACAGTGGTTTGGTCTGGAAACCCTTAACAAAACACAACTGAGGGGCCCGGAAGAAAAAAATTTTTGAATGGTAACGCCTTGCCCCCCAACTAGGCAGCCAAATGTTCCCCGCTTCCGTTTACTCCTAAGTTTATTTTTTCAGGTGGGTTAAAAAAATCCATTTTCCCGGGCCACGATTAGGGGTCGAAAGTGGTTTCCCAATTTTTAACCCGTAAAATTTTGGGTAATTTGTGAAAAATTTTTCAAGCGGTTTTTTCCAGGGTTTGGGCTGAATTGTTCTTTCGAAGGTACTGTATGTTACTTGTGGGAATTTTCATGATCCGGAAAATTATCATGTATCACAGGTGATACGTCGTATCACTGTACCCCACAGGTGTTCAGGTGTACTAGGTTACGATTTCACGGTGATCAGTTGTATCACAGGTGTACAGTATCACTGTATCACGGGGGATACATATGTATACTGTTCACAGGTGATACGTTGTATCCTGTATCCCGGTGTACAGTTTTTCACTGTATCACAGGTGTACAGTGTGTATCTAGGGATACGTTTTATCACAGGTGTACAGATTTTCAAAGGTGAAACAGTTGTATCACAGGTGATCGTATCACTTTTTAAACGGTGATAAAAAAAAGATCCGTTCAAGGTAATAGAGAAATGCCGCCAATCATATCACCTGTCGTTATGTATATGATTAAGTGAAGCAGCCCCGCACTGTATTCGTCAGTTTAGTGATACTGAATTTACTCTCCCTTAAGTAATACATGATTCCTGTCCTGTATTACAGGTAAGAATAGTAGATCATGCATTTATTATTTTGTTTATTGTTTATTGTCGCTTTTGTTATAAAAAAAAATTGTTATTCAAATTTATTTTTGGCATAAAAAAATTTTTAATTTTTTTTCAAAATGTTTGAAGGATTTAGGTTTCATCAAATTAAAACTTGCTTTTATGTCCCGTTTTTTGAAATTATTTTGTTTTCAGTTTCCAAAGCAACTTGAAAATTTTTTGTAACTTGGTGAAGATGTTTTTATTATATTGATTGTGCAGTGATTACGGATAGATTTGCGGATCCCCCGTCCTAACACTTAGTTTGTTTTGGAAATGTTCGTATTTTGCATTGTTTGTTACACATACATCCGTCTTAGCAAAAACCAAAAGTTTTCCTTTTTATGTTTTTCTAGACAAAAAACAAGAGTGTTTTGATGTCATTATAAAAATTTTATATGCTTTACTGGGGTTTTTGGTTTTTCCCAGATCTCCCTCCCCATTTTCTTTTACTGAACTGTGAGGAAATTTTTCATCCCTGTGTATCGCCTTTTGGGTTTTTTAATAAATTCCCCTCCCCTTCCTGCTTTCCTTTCCATTGAAACCTACTATGATTCGAAGCTCAAACCACGTGATCGCTAGCCCCTAGAGGTCTTTCATTGTTATTCCTCATACCGCACTATGAAAAGTGAAAAAAGGCCCATCTTGTGGTTCACCCCCCCCTCTCTTTTCCCCTTACTGTTGGTACAAAAGGTTTTCCATTACCACCTCCTTCATTTTAGCCTTACACATTTCGGGGCCCACAGTGCCCAGGTTTTCCGTCGTTTCTTTGTGTGTATTGTTTGTGTTGGTGTGTGTGTATGTGTCTGTGTACCGTATAAGGACTACCAAATTTGGTTTTAAACGGGACCCACAGCCTCTGATAAGAAATAAACGTTCTTATTTTAAAAACTACGAGTTAATAAATACTTTATAAGCTGGCAAAACCCCGGGAAGGACTTTGGGTTTTTCCTATTTAAGTAACATTAAATATATATTATTTTTGTTTTATTTATTTACCCAAAAAGGTTTTTTTTTAAAATACGTTCTAACTGATTTCGTTAACACACACACAACCCACACACACACACCCCACCCCACCAACAACAACATACATACATACAAAATAAAATAAAAATACATACAAACTACATACAACACAGTGGAGACGGGAAGGCCCTCGGGGGGGACAGAACAAAGGACCCCAGAAAGGAAAAACCCAACAATTTGTGGATGACAACATACAAATGGGGAGGGGTAAAAGCTCAAAGGGGACACGATACCTAAAAGGCAAGGGGACCGACATCCCCAAACTGGGCAACTCCCCGAGGTGGGAAAGGCAAATGTTTCCCCTTTTTTAAAAAACGAGACAGAAAAGAGACACAAAACAAAGACCGTGTCCGAGTTTATATGCAAAGTTATGGAGAAGATTATCAGGGGGAGAGTGGTGGAGCACCGGGAAGGGAACAAGAGTATAAACGAAAACCAGACGGATTCGGGGAAAGGCCCCCCCCCTGGTCAAACCTTCTGGAGTTTTATGATAAAAAACAGAAGAAAGACACGAGGGGAAAAGGGGGGGTTCCCTTTTCCTTATGGTTTTAAAACTAGGGACCCACACCCCTCTGAAAAGAAAATTAAACGTTCTATATATTAAACTACATCAAAATAAATATTTTAAATAAGGGGCAAATCCCGGAGGAAACTTCGGGGTTTTTCCCCTTATTTAAGTAACATTAAAGAAAATTTTTTTTGGGGGGGCTTTTTTTATTTATCCTAAAGGATTTTTTTAATAGGGAATTTCCCAAACCCGTTTGTTACCACACACACACACACACACACACACACACAACACTTACATACATACATACTTACATACTTAAATACATCATACATACATAAAAAACATACAAACATACACGGGTTGGGGGTCGGGAAAAGGCCTCTGGGGGGACAAAAAACAGAAGGGGACACCGGGCAAGGAATATACCAACAAGTGTTGTGGATGCATAAAATACAAATGGGGAGGAGGTGAAAAACCCGGGCAAAGGGACATCGATACCTAAAAGGGGAAATTTGGGACCGGACATCTCCCGGGAAAAATGGGCAACTCCCTGGGTAGGGGAAAAAGGGCAAATGTATTTCCCCTTTTTTTAAAAAACGAAAACAAAAAAGAGACACTAAACTACAGACCTGTGTCATTTGACGTGTATATAGGGCAAAGTTATGGAGAAGATTTTTCAGGGGGGAAGAGTGGTGGAGCACCGGGAAGGGGAACAAGAGTATAAACGTAAACCAGCAGGGGGATTCAGGGGAAAGGGCCCCCCCCCCAAAAACCCCCCCTTGGCCCAAAAACCTTCTGGGGGTTTTTATGATAAAAAACCCAGAAGAAAGACACGAGGGGAAAAGGGGGGGTTGCTTGCTTCTTCTTGGACTGCAAGAAGGCCTTTGACACAGTTCCTCAAAATAGATTAGGCAAAAAAGGCTAGGGGAAATCGGGTTGCATAAAAAGGAAAAGGGGCACTGCAATGGATCAGAAAATACGAAAAGGGGGGCAACAAAAGAGTCATGGCACGTGATGAGGTATCACAGGGGCACCCGTGACGAGTGGGGTCCCAAAGGGGGGCCCCCCCCCCCTCCTAGGACCATTTTTCTTTTTTTTGGGGATATGTTTAACGACATTATGGGGGGGTTTAGATCAGAAGTGTCCCCGTTCGGGAGATGATGTGAATTTTGTGAGGAGAATTAAATCAGATGAGGGCAGGCAGGACTTCAAAAACCTGGACAGCTGACACCTGGTCCGCAACTGGCTTCTTGAATTTAACCCCGCCAAAACAAAGTCATAAGATCTGGGGAAAGGGGACAGAAGACTGCAGACGGAGTATAGGGTTGGTGGCCAAAAACTGCAAAACTCGCTCAGGGAGAAAGATCTTGGGGGGATTTAACACCCAGTTGTCTTTCCCGAAGGGGACACATCAACCAATAACTGCTGCAAACATATGGGCGCCCGGCAAACCTGAGAACAGCATTCCGATTCCTTAGTAAGGAAACGTTCAGACATGTACACCGGGATGCAGCACCTGTTTGGAACCCGCACTAGATCAAGGGACGTCAAGAAATTAGAGAAAGTGGGAAAAGGGTTTTCGAAAGGTTTTTTTTCCCGAGGGTAAGGGGAATGTTATGAAGAAAAGGGTTTAAAGGGGAAAACGGCCCGACGACACTTGAGGGGAAAAGGGGGGGGCAGGGGGGACATGATAACGCATTAAAACTGCCAAAAATAGACAAGGGGACAAAGGGCAGGATTTTCCCGGGGGGGGACCAGAAACAAGAAAAACCAATTGGAAATTGAAGACCCGATGAGTCAAAGGGATGTCAGGGAAATTTTTTCTTTAGTCATACAGTTTTCAGGGAGTGGAATAGGGCCCAGAAAGTAAAGTAGG